ATTAGCCTTTTGTACAGTTAGTGTGTCATTTCCACTCTAAAGGATGCTTTTGTGGTTTGTTCCAGTTCTGGGAGTTGAGCTCACCAGGCTTCTGGACAAACAGGGATTATACCAGTTTGATCTCTTTAACCCTGAGGTGCTTCCCCGGGACGTGAGTCTTCTCGTTTCTCTCTTTCTGTATGTGTTGTATTCCTGCATTCTCACAGCTTCTGCCTCTTCACTCTCTGCTGCAGGGCTTTGTGGTGATTCAGATGGATTTTGGTTTCCCTCATCACCTTCTGGTTGAGTTTCTCAAGAGGACACTGGAGTAACCGTTAAATATCCGACCCGAGAGTGTGTTTTAATCTGAAAACTCAGCTAGGAATGATGTGAGTCAGAACATGCTTCTGTCAAGCTGTCCGTGAACATTTTGTTTGTTGTTGTTTGATTAAAATTAAATACCATGTAAAAGCTTCTGCAGGTGATGTACAGTCAGTAAAGATTACTACAATTATTGTGAGACTTTGTGTTATTGAGATCAACACAAGGTGTGAGTGAAAGAAGGCGTCTATGTCGACTGTGCATGACCATCCTTGAACAGAGGAGCTGACTTACACCTGTCTGCCACCTATAATCTAGTTTTGAGATCCTCTCCTAGACGCCTTATCGCCCACTCGCAGCTCTGACAAATGCCCAGCTGGGACAACCACATTTACTCAGGGCTTTGATGATGTTTCCCTGACAGCTGTATCTGTGGGGATGGCGTTCACTCTGTGCTGGAGCGTCCTGTAGCATACGAATGTTTATTTTCACACTGACATTTGAGACACTGCTCTGATAAACATAATCACAGGAATCTGTTATTCTGTCTGGAAATAGGAGTGGAGGATTTTACGAGGATGAAAATACACAGTTATTAACTGTTTTATATATTTTATTGTTGTTTTTGTGCCTGTAAAGTTTAGAAATTAAAATCATACTTAACATGAAGAACTGCTTTGTCTTGATGTCATCTATCTGCTTATGTAGGACGCAATAATATCAAAGCATTCATCCTCGAGCAGCTCAAGCAGAGGAGATGAGAAACAGATAAAAACCTGGTACAGTAAAAAAGACTTTATCCTTTTTGAGTTTATTAGAATCAGCAAAGTCTGTGATAGAATAAAGAAGCCAAAGTCTGATTTGGACTCTGTGGAGGACAGTCATTGTTCAAGAGATGCTGCTTTTCTACTTTGACCGAGTTGACTCTTTAAATTAGCACCAGTCCTTGTCATCAAAACCAAAAATTTTTTACCCTTTAAATTCCAGTTAGGTTCAAGATTCAAGAGCTTTCCTGTCAGTACAGTAGTATACACAGTATACAGTGTACCGAAATGCTGTTTCACCCTAAGCCCCCCATGGTGCATTTATAAATATGTAAAGGATTTATCTCCAAGAGATATAAAACTAGGCATTACAAAAATGTAACATGCTAGGTTTTGGTAAAATTAAGGGATAAAAAGGTACTAATTACTAACTATACAGTTCTATGATGGTAACTACACAATAATAACTGAATGATACACAAAGATAAACAAAGACAGGACAGAGACAATACAAAGTGGAATGTGCAGTAGGCATTGAATACCAGTTTCAAGTTATTGACAG